TGTGCTTCCTATCTCGGACTTTATGAACAGGTGTGAGTTTCATAGTGTAGCTATCATACCCATTTTCAGTTTTACTAACCACACTCAGGAGCTAAAATCTGGTCTCAGATGGTAGAGTTATTGGGTTCACCTCATAAAGCAAACATCTCCCTCCCTCTGGCCCTGTACACACTACACAGTTAAAGTAGCATCACGCCACTTTAAACAGCTATGTTGTTGTTGGTGTTTAGTCGTTTAGTCGTGTCCGACTCTTCGTGACCCCATGGACCAGAGCACGCAAGGCACTCCTGTCTTCCACTGCCTCCCACAGTTTGGTCAAACTCATGCTGGTAGATTCGAGAACACTGTCCAACCATCTCGTCCTCTGTCGTCCCCTTCTCCTTGTGCCCTCCATCTTTCCCAACATCAGGGTCTTTTCCAGGGAGTCTTCTCTTCTCATGAGGTGACCAAAGTATTGGAGCCTCAGCTTCAGGATCTGTCCTTCCAGTGAGCACTCAGGGCTGATTTCCTGAAGAATGGATAGGTTTGATCTTCTTGCAGTCCATGGGACTCTCAAGAGTCTCCTCCAGCACCATAATTCAAAAGCATCAATTCCTCGCTGATCAGCCTTCTTTATGGTCCATCTCTCACTTCCATACATCACTACTGGGAAAACCATAGCTTTAACTATACGGGCCTTTGTCGGCAAGGTGATGTCTCTGCTTTTTAACATGCTGTCTAGGTTTGTCATTGGCTTTCCCCCAAATAATCCTGGGAAATATGTTTATTAAGGGTGCTGAGAGCTAGTATGAATCATGGAATCATAGAGCTGGAAGGGACCACAAGGGTCATTTAGTTCAACCCCCTGCAATGCCGAGCTCTCTCTCTCCCCCCTTAACCCTTACATGGCCTCACCACTTACATTCCTGCCTAGGAGGAAACTGCGCAAGGCACTGGGAAGGATCCAGATCCCGCCGTGAGATCTCACTAGATTCAGGACATGACTCTGCAGCACTCGGCTAGACTCCCATGCTGGGAAAGGGGCAGACATAGGGGCCAGCTCCTAGGGGCGAACTCTTAAGGGCCCAGCTCCCTTGGGGGGGATGATGACAAATCAGAGGGGTGATAGGTGGGATGGCTCAGTGAGACCAGAGTTGGAGCTAGCTGCTCTGGCACCCGTAGTGGCACACATTTTGTGTACCCGTGGCGAGCGTCCCCGGGGGGCAGCGTGGTGATATCACCCCCCCCCCAGGGATGACACTTGGGGCGGACCACCCCCACCACAAACCCCTTCCTCCGCCAGTGCATGAAATTAAGAGTCTCATGTTCTAAATGGGATTCAGAATGTTAAGAAAAGTGAATAAGATGGACTATAATTGGAAATTGTTTTAGTTTAATAATGATATTGGAAAGCTGTTACTTTTAACTACAAGGAAACTCAGAAGGGAGGGACTTGAGGAAGTCAACCAAGATGTTTAAAAGGTTGGATTTGTGAAGAATTAAGCTTGTTGTTATTGTTTATCTGTTTATTGTTCCTTTTTTCCCTTTTCTTTCTTTCTTTTTCTGTTTTTGTGTATCATTCTGCTTTGTGGTTTTTGTTATCACTGTAGAAAATCTAATAAAAATTTATTTTTAAAAAAGAGTCTCATATTCTACCAACTGAGCTATCCTTCATGAGATCCCCACTACAACCAATGCCTCTTCCTAGGGAATTCTGGGAATTGTAGCTGTGAGGGGAAGAGGGGTTTCCTAACAACTCTCAGCACCCTTAGTGAACTGCAATTCCCAGAATGCTTTGGGGGAAGCCATGGCAGTTTGAAGTGGCGTATTGTTTTAAATATGTAGCACAGATGGGGCTTCTCTCTCTTTTAGCGTTATGAAGTTTTTATGTTATCCTCGCTAATGGTATTTTCTTCCTACCTGTCATAACGATTTAAGATGCGAGACATTCTAAAACCATTCTGCCAGGAACAAGCCAGTTTCCCCCATTCCTGCCTAGCTTGATTTACTTATATTTACCAGTGGCTTCATCAAAGCATTTATAAATCTTCTAAATGCACAAAAATGCACAATAGCCAGAGTTTAGTGTGGATACACAGAAACCAGAGGGCTGCATTAGTATGGCACCTCATGCCCTCTACTCAGTAATGATGCAAGCACAAAGAGGAACATGACTTTGCATCTTGAACCATGACTCCAGGTACACAACATAGCCCTTTCTAGTATGGGGGTTTACTTATTTATTTAAATCATTCGGAACCACTTAATATTTGGGGGGGGGGGAGGAATCTCTAAGCAGTGTATGACATGAAAACAGCCACTCGTGTCATTGAAACAAGAATACAACATACAGTAAAGCAATACTATAAAACTTGCTGATCGGAAGGTCAGCGGTTCAAATCCCCGCGATGGAGTGAGCTCCTGTTGCCCTGTCCCAGCTTCGGCCAACCTAGCAATTCGAAAGCACACCAGTACAAGTAGATAAATAGGTACCGCTGTGGTGGGAAGGTAAACGGCATTTCTGTGCGCTCTGGTTTCCGTCAAGCTGTTCCATTGCACCAGAAGTGGTTTAGTCATGCTGGACACATGACCTGGAAAGATATCTGTGGACAAACGCCAGCTCCATCAGCCTGAAAGCGAGATGAGCGCTGCACCCCATAGTTGCCTTTGACTGGATGTAATCATCAAGGGATCATGTACCCTTTACCTTTTAAAAAATAATAATATATAAAACCATATAAAACCAGGACTTCAGGGACTTTGTACCAATAAATACTGGGTCCAATCTTATATGTCAGGGAAAACCTGGACAAAAATAAATAAATGATGCATTTACAATTCTTGTGAGGCAACTGCTGGTTTTGCTGCTGGATATGTGCCAGAGGGAAGGGCATTTTTTAACACAATTTGTTTTTGTTTTTTCTTTGATTGATAAGAGAATAGTCAGGGGGAGAAGGAGTGGGAGATTTTTTTTGGCACAGCAGCTACTTTCCACCTCTCTTTTATTTTAAACAGCATCGACTTGAAAGTGCATTTTCTTCCAGAAATTGGCATGCAGTTCATCGTTTCCATTGACTGAACACGTGAGCGTATCATGAAGGGTGTTTGTGTGGGTCGTGGGGAGGAAGCATAACAAAACTACAGCCCATGGCTCTGAATGAATGCGGCCAGATTACTGCTTGAATGTTTTGTGTTTAGGAAAGACTGAGTAACTAAATATTGAAGCCTAATTGACTTTTTGCAAGTCACTTCGGACTGGATTTTGCCTTGACAGTCGTCAATGCGACATGGCTGAATAGCTTATTGAGTCTGGAGAAAGCAAGTCACTCACATTCTGGGCAGAGATTACATTTTTCAAGTACTAGGGAAACAGCTGCATTAAAAAAAAAAAAATCCATCAAATGATGCCTGGCAGGGAAAGGATTTATATACATGACAGTAGAAATAGCCACTACTGCTCTCATTTTATTTCTATTGCTAAGAGAGGGCAGGGAGTTCTGTTTTCATGAGGAAACACAGAAATATTTGAGGATCTAGTTATTCATACGCAACATAGGTCAAGTGTAAAAATCAGGATGCTGGCCTAGAAGGGTCTTTGGCCTGATTTGGCAGAATTTTTATATTCTTATGAATATAAAGCAGTGAGTGGCTTTCCTTACTGCCTTTATTACCTGGGACCATCTGCACCCACAGACCCTCTGAGGGTCCCTAATTTCCAGTGACAGTCCTGGATTTACAGAAGCCATCCTGATTTCTGATTGGATCCCAGAACATCCTGCCTTTCCTTAAAGGTAAAGGTAAAGTCACCCCTGACCATTAAGTCCAGTCGCGGACGACTCTGGGGCTGCAGTGCTCATCTCGCTTTATTGGCCAAGGGAGCCGGCGTACAGCTTCTGGGTCATGTGGCCAGCATGACTAAGCTGCTTCTGGCAAACCTTAGGACATCCCTATTTTCATTGAAGAAATGTTGAAGGGTACGGAGTTATGCAACCCCCAAGCCAAGGAGATAAGTAACTATACAACCTTCCGAACACATCTGAAGGCAGCCCAGTATAGAGAAGTTGCCCCCCCCATGTTTAATGTTTTATTGTGTTTTTATGTATGTTGGAGAGGGAGGCAGGTGGCGCTGTGGGCTAAACCACAGAGCCTAGGACTTGCCGATCAGAAGGTCGGCGGTTCGAATCCCCGCGACAGGGTGAGCTCCCGTTGCTCGGTCCCTGCCCCTGCCAACTAGCAGTTCAAAAGCACATCAAAGTACAAGTAGATAAATAGGTACCACTCCAGCGGGAAGGTAAACGGCATTTCCGTGCGCTGCTCTGGTTCACCAGCAGTGGTCATGCTGGCCACATGACCAGGAAGCTGTACGCTGGCTCCCTCGGCCAATAAAGTGAGATGAGCGCCGCAATCCCAGAGTCAGCCACGACTGGACCTAATGGCCAGGGGTCCCTTTACCTTTACCTTTATGTATGTTGGAAGCCACCCAGAGTGGCTGGGGCAACCCAGTCAGATGGGCAGGGTATAAATATTAAAGTTGTTGTTGTTGTTACGGATTAGTACATCCCTATTTTCATCAATTCTTCTTCTTTTTCTTCTTCTTCTTGAAAAGAAGAAGAATTGATGCTTTTGAATTATGGTGCTGGAGGAGACTCTTGAGAGTCCCATGGACTGCAAGAAGATCAAACGTATCCATTCTTAAGGAAATCAGCCCTGAGTGCTCACTGGAAGGACAGATCGTGAAGTTGAGGCTCCAATACTTTGGCCACCTCATGAGAAGAGAAGACTCCCTGGAAAAGACCCTGATGTTGGGAAAGATGGAGGGCACAAGGAGAAGGGGACGACAGAGGACCAGATGGTTGGACAGTGTTCTCGAAGCTACCAGCATGAGTTTGACCAAACTGCGGGAGGCAGTGGAAGACAGGAATGCCTGGCGTGCTCTGGTCCATGGGGTCACAAAGAGTCGGACACGACTAAACGACTAAACAATAACAACAATTTTCATCAGAGAAATGTTGGGAGGTATGCAGCCATATTCTTTCATCCATCTTCCTTTCATCTGTGCCATGCATATGATTGTCTTGCATTGGCCGCACCATTGTCCACTGTTAGCCTATCGAAATCAGTCTCTAGCCCCATCCACACAGAACTACATTGTATTGTGGCCTGCCAGATACTTGACACGCTCTGTTTTGCCAAAACTTTCATGCATGGAGTAAAACTAGGAAGATGTTTATTGAGTCCCTGGTGGGCTGAAATGCAAGGATTGCTAAACCGCCTTCAGCTTAGCTGGCCACAAGTTCTACCACGGTTAAAGGAAACTAACTGAAATGTCTCTTTGGTCCTCCCTGTGCTCTATAATGATTAAAGTGTTCTATTCTTTGCTCTGGTTTGCTATACGTTATTCTGGCCTTGCTTTAATCCATCTTGCGATATTCTGCTGTGTTTCTGTTTACCCCAGTTCAGAATGATGTGGTGTTTCTTTTTAAAGTTCACAGGCTTTTCTGTTTTCTCTTTTGCTCCTTTGGTCAGGAAACTGTTTCCCTATATTTCATTCAAAAAAGCAGTTGCTGTTCCTCACACAAAACCACATAAATCATGGCAGAGCTGGCTGGCGACATCGACCCTGGTTCGCCTCAGATACCCAATTGGGTTGTTTCTTTTCAAACAAACTTGCCTGCGCTGTGTGTGCGGATTTGTGCCTTGTTTGCAACAGCTTAATTCCCCAGGCTTGGCAATCCTGCTGAAGAAGATGATACACATCAGAGAGCCCTTTATCTTTTCATGATATACATATTTGATATGTATTATTAAGGCATATGACAGGCCTAACTGCAGTGTTGTCATGCATATAAAACACATGTCATCAGTCACTGAAAAATGGGCCTGAGGGTATTTAAGGCTGAGTGGGTGGGTAACTTATTTGTAACAGTAATGTGACAACTCCTTTAATCTCGGAAGCGAAAGCCAGTAAATGTTTTCCCACAGCTAATGAAGTATTTCATCTGCCCCCCCCCAAAGGAAGAGCTTTTGACATATCCCTTGTTTGTCAGAATTATGCTGAATTTCTTTCTAACCCATATGAAAGGTTTCACAAGACACAATGGATTTAAATCTCTCTCTCTCTCTCTGTGTATGTGTGTGTGTGTGTATGTGTGTGTGTGTTTGTGTGTGTGTCCCTGCGATATCTTTCTTCGGTTTGGGATTTTGTTTTCACTGGGTATTAGTCAGTCTTGTAAACTAATTGTGCAGCTAGGTCAAGTATTTATTTATTTGTTTAACTGGTCTAAATGGATGCAGGACTTCAAGGCCCTGTAATGATACTGTTTTTGGTTTGTTTGTTTTTTTAAAAAATCATTTTTATTACTTTTACAAATACAAAGTTATAAACAGAGTATCCTTACAGTATATCCCTACAGTAGTACCTCGGGTTAAGAACTTAATTCATTCTGGAGTTCCGTTCTTAACCTGAAACTGTTCTTAACCTGAGGTACCACTTTAGCTAATGGGGCCTCCTGCCGCCGTGCCGCTGCTACACTATTTCTGTTCTCATCTTGAAGCAAAGTTCTAAACCTGAGGTATTATTTTTGGGTTAGCGGAGTCTGTAACCTGAAGCGTCTGTACCCTGAAGCGTTTGTAACCCGAGGTACCACTGTACAAAGAGAATCCTCCAAATCTCAGGACTTCCCCCCTCTCCATCACCTCCATGGGGTCTCATTATAAACATTTAATACTGCATATTCTTCCATACTCCAATTTTAATATCAAACCATATAATTGCAAAACTACAAGTGAGATCAAAATCCTGCTATTGTTTCCTTCTGCTTACAGTGGTCTCCTAAATAACTTATACATTTCTCCCCATTCTTTTATAAAGTTTTTATCCTCTTGGTTTCTGAGTTTTCCAGTCAGTTTTGTCATCTTGGCATAGTCCATCAGCTTGGTTTGCCATTCTTCTCTGGTAGAGACTTTGTCTTCTCTGGGCACCTGTAATGATACTGTTAATCCATGTCATATTCTACTGTTAGAAGAAGAAGAAGAAGAAGAAGAAGATGATGATGATTCTCTGGGCTTGCAGTAGCCTGCTTATCATCAGCACAGAAGGTAAATAGAGAGGACAAAGGAATTAGTTTAGTCTGCAGTGAACCAACTCAATTCAGAGGTGTAGCGCAGGTTCTCTCCATGACCACTGCCACCTGCCTCCTTCCTTGGGCAGCTCACAGCGGCTGCTGGAGAGGAGGCGAGGAGGAGGGGAGGCTTCCACAATCACCAAGACTCAGCCTTGTGTGACGCACCAGCTCTGAGGTACAGGCAGAGACCAGGGTGGTGGAAATTCTCGGGGGGGGGGGGCGCAGGACCAAAGGGAGTGGATGGGGTCAGTTGGGGAGAGTAAGAAATGTCCCTATTTTCATCTGAGGAATGTTGGAGGGTATGGAACATGGAACGCAGCAAGCCATATCTTCACTTCCAGTTGGAATCTTCTACAGTGGTACCTCAGGTTACGAACTTAATTCGTCCCGGAGGTCCGTTCTTAACCTGAAACTGTTCTTAACCTGAGGTACCACTTTAACTAATGGGGCCTCCCACCCCCACCGCACCGCTGGCGTGCAATTTCTGTTCTCATCCTGGGACAAAGTTCTTAACCTGAGGTACTACTTCCGGGTTAGCGGAGTTTGTAACCCGAAGTGTTTGAAACCCGAGGTGTTTGTAACCCGAGGTATCACTGTATTTAGACTCCAGGGAATAATCGCATTACCCTTTTTCTTTCTCTTGGGGCATAACCCAGAAAAAAAAGTATTTTTAAGGCCCATTGATTTCTGCTGAAGAGAGTGTTTAATTCTCTTATTGGAATCAATGCAGGGACTTAGCAGAGCTTAGCTTGGGTTAGGTTGCACTCTTTGCATCATCTTTTTAAAGCACTTTCTTCTGAGCTTGGCTTTGTGATTCTTGAGATTTATTGGATTCTTGGAGAAGCCTCCTGGCTTCTCCAAAGGACACTTAGGATACAACAGCACAGACCCTGTCCTGAATGGACTTGCAACATATAAAAAGAGCAGGCAATGTCTGCAGCACGTCTCTATTCAGGAGGTGCTTAAAGTGATATAACTGTGCTTGCCGTGTTTGTTAACCACACATAACTACAATGGTTTTGTGTATTGATGTAACTTATTACAATCACATAAACGACGTTCCCCAGGAGATCTGAACTATATTGTTGGTTCCTCTGTAGAAAGGCAACTTCTTTCTGCTGGTCCTGTTTTGTTTGATAGCACTTTACAACCTGCAAGACTTCCTGCTTTGCCAAGCCGTTTTAAAATCCAATTCTACAGCCTCAAAGTGCCATAATTGTATACATCCTCATAAGAAAGGTTTAGAATAAAATGTACAAATTGAGGGCTGTTAGAATGGTTGCCTTTTTCTTTGTTGTTTTGTTTTTGGCAGGCTTCAAACCTGAAAACTCAAAAGCCAGCAATTGCCAACTGGTTACTTAGAGTCCACGTTTTCTACCACACTGTGCTAGTTATAAAATACTGGCAGACACAATATGTTCCTGGTTTTCAAGTTATCTTCCAGGGATCCCTAGATAACTTGGAAGGGGGTCATCTTTTTCAGTCCATGCTGAATGTGCCTCGGAATCCTTTGCAATGTGAAAAGGTCTTGTGGTGGGCAGATTGAGGCTCCTGAGCAGATGTCTATGTGGCAAGCAATTCTTGGGGGAAAGTTTGGAAACCACTACAATGTACCACTGAGCGCCAACTACGGTATCCATGCTGTCAATTGCTAAATATCACTTCATGTTAACTATCAAAAGCTGCAAAACACTAACTTTCAAATATGGAATACTGGAATCAGATATAGCTGTGCATCAGACAAAGATGTCAATCAGTCAGAGAACATTTGAAATGTATTCTGGTTTTAAATAATCCTATTTATTTAAACTTAAAAATTTGCAAAGGAGAATTTTGAATATTTCTTTCTATAACAACAATAACAACATATTTTATTTATTTTTATCCCTCCTTTCCTCCAGATCTGGGACCTGAGTTAAGCTGTCTTGCCAAAATTAAAACAAATACAGATAAAACACACATAGCTAAAAGGTAATTAAACTATCTATGGAATCAAAACCATGTAAAAAAGTATCTACTTGCTGTTGACACTGGGTGTGGTACCCATAGCATGTGAGGAGTTCAGACCTGTTGCCTGCCCAGGATGGGATAGGATTCTTTGGCAAGGGAAAAGACAATTTTTTAAAATGTTATTAAAGGTTTTCAGCATATAATACAATAAAAACCAAACATAGCTGACATTTAAAGAGAGCAAAATAATAAAAAGAAAAGAGAGAAAACAAAACAAAAAAGAAACATACCCACACAAACACAAAAATTTATATTCTACCATCCGTCTATCTTAATCTTCAATTCACAAACAGAGATCTGCGTCTTCTAAGCGCCTACCTTGGACAGCTCCCATCTTTCTCAGCCTCACACCCTGAGACAAAACACTCTATTCTGAAAAGACCATAAAATGATATCTGCTGCTTCTTGCTTCGTGCTTTGTGTTTCCTCATCCTTTAAATAAAACCTGTTAAAGAGCAACTCACGTGGTCTTCACTGACTATCTGAGTCTCAAAGAACCACTATTATGTTCAAACATCCATCATTAAAATACTTAGTCCTGCTGCTGTTTGTCCGTGTGTGCGTGCGTCTGTTTAATGCAACAACCTTTTCGCTGTATGATTTAATTCAAATATTACATAATGCTGTTAGAATACAAAAAACACACTAGTTTCCATGCTGTGCAACTGCTTTACCCACCTCCCCTTTTTAGTACAGTTGGAGTATTGGAAAATGTATGTTATTTAGACCTAAATCTCACTCTTTGAAGGTTGGGATCAAAATCCCTTGACATGCTACAAGCATGAGAGGAAATGGACTGTTGCAAGCCTGTCTTCACAATGTATCACACAGATCCCTCATGTAAACAGCAGAGGGGTTAATTGGCATGAACCTAATTTTGGATTTGTGTGTGTGTTTGTGTGTTCTGTTACATTGTATACTTAAAACAGGCCTCCTAACTATGCTGCCTTTTTATTTTTGTTATGGCTTTGTTTTGTGCTGTTCTGTTCATGTAGCACAAATAAGCATTGCACTTGGTACCGTGCTTTACCTCATTTCAAGGAGAAATATACTTAATTATATATACAACTGAAGGCAGCTCTGTTTAGGGAAGTTTTTAATATTTAATGCTGTATTGTTTTTAGCATTCGATTGGAAGCCGCCCAGAGTGGCTGGGGAAACTCAGCCAGGTGGGCGGGGTATAAATAATAAATTATTATTAGTAGTAGTAGTAGTAGTAGTAGTAGTACAATGGAACCTCGGTTTTCGAGCATCTCAGAAGCTGAACGATTTGGAACCCAAACGCCGAAAACCCGGAAGTAATTGCTTCCATTTTTGAATGTGCCTCGGAAGTAGAATGGCTTCTGAGGTGAGTTTCTCCATTTTTTCAATTCATTTTGCCAACGGCCCATTGATGCTCGATTTTCGAACGTTTCGGAAGTCTAACAGTCTTCCAGAATGGATTACGTTCAAAAACCGAGGTTTCACTGTAAAACCATCACACCAGACCATTAGCGTATAATCATCCATCATTAAAATATGCAATAATTTATTTATTACATTTATATACCACTTTCCTCCAAGGTGATCAAGGTGGCATACGTGTTTCACTCTATCCCTATTTTATCCTTGCAACAATCATGTGAGAAACAGTGACTAGCCCAAAATTGGTGAGATGCATTGTTGAGTGGGGACCAGAATCCCTGTCTTCCAAGTTTCAGTCCAATGGTGTCACCTTTATTCCATTCTACATTAAAACAACCCACTATCTCTTGGGAGAGACTTTTTGTGGGGTTACAGGTGGTATCAGGGGGGAAGAGGATGAGGAGATTTTCCTTCCATGAATTTCAATAAGCTAGCTTCCCTGAGGATCTAGGCTACTGCTTTCAAAGGGTTTAAGCATTCTTTAGACTTCAGAAATCTTATGAAGTTACTTTAACTATTTGGCACTTCCTTAAGATCTCCATGTTAAGGCATGACAGCTGTAATTTCACTGATATTTCACAAAATATCATCCACAGCATAGCTCATAGCCACATAATAAGGCTGTTTTTCCCCGAAATGCAAGAAAATGGGGCATTTTAGAGCTAAATGCTATTATTATTCATATACCCAGGGAATGATTTCCTCCCACCAATCAAGATGCAGTCTCTGAAAAGGGCTCCACATTTCAGGTGTGATGAGTACCTTTGAAGCAATCTGAATGCTAAAGAATGCTCCTCAATTTCCATTTCTTCCTGTCCTCCCTTTGGCATTACTTTGGGCTCCTTACATATGGGGCCGGGTCTGAATTATTGTTATCAGCAAAGAAAATATATTTTCCCAATGCTGCAGGAAGCACCTGTGTCCTGAATACATCATTGATCTGGCATGTCTAAGGGTTTTGCTTGAGGATTAGAAGTTCCAAGGATCTGCCATTTAAGAAAGACCTACCCCCTGTTCTACCTATTTTTCCTCTCCTTCTTTTTAAGAGCAGTTCCTTCTAAAGAGCCCCCACCTTCAGTATCTACAGCAATCCAAAGTTCTCCTTCGGAACATTGAGCTCTTGGGTAAAAACACAATTGTAGAACTGATGGATCTTCTGCACCATTTAGCATCTTCCTCAACAGAATGCACAAGGAACGTAAAAAAGAAAGAAAAAGGAATTACATCACACCCTTGGTTCCTTTAAAGCAATCATAGTGCACATGCTCAGTGGTAAGGGATGATGAGAGTTGTAGTCCAGCAACATCTGACATCAGTAAAGGATTTTTTTAAAAAAAATACTTTAGTTCAAGAGCTGAGATTTCATTGGATAGCAAATTAAATCCATAACAACCAATCGATTCTCAATTTGCAAACACACACACTACAAATCTTCCACAGTGGGGAGGAGGACACTGGTGGAACTTCATCCCTCTTGTTCATAATCTCCATTATGTTTCTACTCTTGAAAGTGGCATAGGTAAATGTTCCCCGTGCTCAGACAAATGTTAGCTCCATATTAGCAAAATTGATACAAAGCTATTCCATCAATCTGGCACTGCAACCACAGGCTTTTAAGCCTGAGTCTTCTGAGCCCTACCCAGAGTACAGCCACAAGCAATACGTTTTGCCTGTGGATTTGGTTTACTCCTGAGAAACAGCTCATTAATGAGTATCCCTTTACTTCTAATGTGTTCTTGTACCTCAGGTGGGTCCTCTGAAGTCTGGCAGCCGACTGAGTCTGTAATGTCAGGTTCCTGCACTTCCTGGAACTCACTGACTCCTCAAAGTTCACATCTGTTTCCTTGAAGGGGCAATTTCTGTCTTGAGAAGGATTTTGGGTTGTCATGTTCTCTGAGGGATCTTGATTCCCCTGCTCTGCCTCTCGGCACCTTGACACTGCTCTTCCACCCAGCTGACACCCAGCTCTACCTCTCCTTTAAATCAGAACCAGTGAAGGCGGTGAAGGTCCTGTGTGAGTGCCTGGAGGCGGTTGGAGGATGGATGGCGGCTAACAGATTGAGGTTGAATCCTGAAAAGACAGAAGTACTGTTTTTGGGAGACAGGGGGCGGGCGGGTGTGGGGGATTCCCTGGTCCTGAATGGGGTAACTGTGGCCCTGAAGGACCAGGTGCACAGCCTAGGAATCATTTTGGACTCACACCTGTCCATGGAGGCGCAAGTTAATTCTGTGTCCAGGGCAGCTGTCTACGAGCTCCACCTGGTACACAGGCTAAGACCCTACCTGCCCGCGGACTGTCTCACCAGAGTGGTGCATTCTCTAGTTATCTCCCACTTGGACTACTGCAACGCGCTCTACATGGGGCTACCTTTGACTGCTCGTTCTGTCGCTCTCTTCACCTTTATTCAAAGGCTACCTGACGACTGGACGAACAGCTTCCAGGCACTGCCGGGCACCTAGACCTCTAGACACCCTCCAGAGGTTTAGCGGGAGGTTTTTTTCGCCCTAAAAACCTCCAAAATCGGCCGAAACAGCTAGGGCTCTCTCCGCAGAAAAAACCCTCGCCTGCAACAGGTTCCGCGCTCCACCGGAAGTCCTGGACCCGGAAACTGCAATTAATCCAGAATGCAGCAGCTAGACTGGTGACTGGGAGTGGCCGCCGGGACCACATAACACCGGTTCTGAGAGATCTGCACTGGCTCCCAGTACGTTTCCAAGCACAATTCAAAGTGTTGGTGCTGACCTTTAAAGCCCTAAACGGCCTCGGTCCTGTATACCTGAAGGAGCATCTCCACCCCCATCGCTCAGCCCGGACACTGAGATCCAGTGCCGAGGGCCTTCTGGCGGTTCCCTCATTGCGAGAAGTCAGGTTACAGGGAACCAGGCTGAGGGCCTTCTCGGTAGTGGTTTAAAGTAGTCCTTTAGATGTGAAGGAAATAAGCAGCTATCTTATCTTTAAAAGACATCTGAAGGCAGCCCTGTTCAGGGAAGTTTTTAATATTCAACGCTGTACTGTTTTTAACACTTGATTGGGAGCCGCCCAGAGTGGCTGGGGAAACTCAGCCAGATGGGTGGGGTATAAATAAATTATTATTATTATTATTATTATTATTATTATTATTATTATTCCATGATGTTTACTTCGGGGTTGGGAGGTTCCAGATCATCCTCCAGAGAGGACTCCTCTGGCAGGGGTGTGATGAGGACCACAGTGTTGCACATGCCAATAAAAGCTGTGAAGGGCTGAATTGGATCTGAATGGGGTAGGGGCTGCTCAATCCTTTCTTCTCAGTTAGCTCCCCTCACAACTGACTGATTTTCTTTTTGTGAAATAAAAGGCATCAGGATGCATATGTATCTTTGTTGTGTTTGAAGTGGGGAATAGTTTAGGTAGTGATTTTTTTTTTTTTTTGCAAACCTTTTGTGGAGATCACATGCCAGTGGTGGGTGTAGCCAAAAGTGGGTGGTCCACCCCACAATCTCACATCCACACACACCTGAACACCCACACACCTGCTGTCAAGTGATCCATGCAGAAGTTTAGCCAAGGAGGGAGAGAATATTGATGAACAGGGGAGAGGCAATTTTCATCCTGGTCAAGGTGCTCGGCTCGATGGAGAGGTTTAAACTGTGGTCCTACGAGGGGCAGAAAAGGCACTTCAGGCAGCAAAAGGTCTTGTGGCAACCCTGTTGAGCAGATCCTCTCCAAAGTGACCTGCTTTTCCCCCCTATCGGCAAAATTTGTGTTGCTTCTATCCAGTTTATTATGCACACAAAAAAGGCTGAAAAAAGCCTCAACGTATTGCTTGATTACATTAAAATAATGATTTCATTGGCCTCTCTCTGACATTTCTCCAGTGGTTCCATTGTGTAAGAAATAACAACGCTAGTTAGAATTTTATCTCCCTCCCTCTCACTTTTTCTCTTTCTCTCTGAACCCAAGTCACCTCTTACATGCCACCAGCTCTTTTAAGCTTCTTCTGCATCTTCACTGACACACAAAATTGAGATGGTCTCTCGTGCCATTATTCTCAGAGGCCCTGACTCTCAAAGACAGTATGTCGGGGAATGACAGTTCACAGGCTCAGCACTAAAAAAATGCTGATTTGCAAGAGTTTTAAAAAATCACTCCTGTTAATGTTGGTTCCTGACATATTCTTGTGGAAATATACTCTCGCTGTGCCATGTACCATAAAGACACAATGGCTGCATATTAAAATCCTGCCACTACCATTCATACGTTCCAAAGCCACTGGACTGGCTGAAAGGATAGCTAAAGGCCACTAGTGCAATTAGAACATCATATTTTCTCACACACAAGAACTGTAAGCCTGTGCCCATAAAAGTAGGGATGATGTTTCCAGGATGAACAGAGGAAGATTTCACTCTGTCCACTTTTTGCAAAGGATTGACCTGATTTGACACTCCTGAATTTTGCTTCTGGATCAGATTGAGACACTTCTTCAGATCTCCTGATGCAGTTTCAGGCTTGTTTTTTTCTGCATTGTTTTTGAATGTTTCCCTTCTGTTGAAATACATAGAAGTTAATGACATTATTAATTACATTCATTTTGACAATGACAGATAGCAAAACAAATAACATAGGTGTCAGAGGAAGCTGGACTGTAGCGGAAACAGAAACGGTGATGATTGCAAACGAAAACAAGACAGGATGGAAATCTCTATTGTACATCATTATGCCACTCTGGCAGCAATCAATCATGGTAATTTATTGCAACTAAAATGTTCACTCACATTGTTTGATTTTTCAACCATAATGTGATTTTTAAAAGCTGGTTTAAAGTTCTGGAAGCTTACAGGTCTTGGATGAGTAGGGAAGGTGAGAAGCAGAGCCAATCTAACAGCTCCGGAATAGAGGCAGGACAGAATTTTTGTTGATCAAGCATCAGGAACTGAGGTTGGAGGTGGAACAACATGAAAGATTCTGGAGTTTGGGGCCTATCAACCTCCAGACATAATATGGTTTACTCAGCAAACTTGCAAGCTGATTCCAGCAGTAGATTGGGTTTGTGCTGTACTTTTCCTTGTACTTTCCCCCCTATCCAATCTTCTGGGTTTCACTATTGTACCATTTTTCTCAGTAGGTTAAAACATAAGTTGCTTTCTATAAATCTTTATGGAATGGCTCAAGAAAATCAGAGGAGACATCTGGGACACAACACCAGGCTGATTTCATTTCATAAAGCAACCTCTGAAGACTAATGAAGGGGAAAGCTGCAGAAGAAAGTGCTTTCAGAGAAAATGTTCTGAGATTCATATTTGTCGCTTGGACTAGCCCAATAGCTGCTTTCATTTTGCAATACAAAAAGGATGTTAACACTCTTCATTTTATTTGTCTATTTCTTTAGGGTTCGGTTCTGTTACCCACCTACCTGGATCTGGAGTTCAACAATATCTGGATTACATTGAGTACCAGAGGATAGCAGCTGGAGACCCTGTGACAGGGATCGTTAATGGTTTAATTTCCTAAAATGGGAATGTTTACTTATGTTAAATTACTGGGTATTTGTAACATGAGGTTTTCCCTTTGGCAGTAGTTTTCATGTGATTGGCTGACTGTGAGTCACATGAGAGAGACATTCTATTCTGTTGTGACTGTTATTCAAGTAACTGTCGTTTTTAACTGTCTTTCTGTTTTCTCTCTGTGTGTGTGTAGAATGGCTGCCGAGAGAGACTTCTCAGAATACTGCAGAAGATAGTGTGTGTCAGCATTATCTGTCTGAAGTGAAACAGACAGAGGAAGATCCCTAATTGTTAATAAGGAGAAACATGTGCAGGAGCTCTCTATAAGGAACAAAGTGAATAGGGATGAGATTGTCAATATATTCTTCTCAGTTATATGTTTATGTAAGTAAACTTTTGAATATAAAGTGTCTGGACATTACATAACATCAAATTATATATATATAACTCCCATCAGCCTCTGCCAGGACAGCCATCCATCAGAGATTATGAGAGCAACAGTCCAACAACACCTGGATCACTGCAAGTTCCCCATCCCTCCATTATGAGTTGGATCCAGACTTAGTTGTGCTCTGTGAAGTTAGTCATGACCAATTTGTCTGTCAGGGACTGGGCAGAGGAGGAATGGTGGAGACCGCCTCCCCAGCTTGACCCTTCCAGAGAAGAAGAAGACGGTTCAGAATTACAGCAGGGGTTTGAGGGAGGTCACAGCTCAGAGGCAGATGAGGGGGAAAGCTGGGAAATAATGGAAGAGGAGCAGGAGGAAGAGGAACCACCAGGAGGGCAACAGCTGATGGACACAGTGTCTTTAGAAAGCATTCCAGATCCCCTCCCTCCCAGAACCTGGCAAGCCTTGAAAGTAGTAGAGCAAAGGACTCAGAAGCAAAGAGTAAAGTTACCAGACGTCCCCGTTTCCCGGGGACAGTCCCTAGATTTACAAATCAGGCCCCTGACAAAATCCATCTATTCAGTAGGAAGTTGAAAAGTGTCCCCAGATTCATTGGCGGGGGGGGGGGGGATCTGGTGACCTTAGCAAAGAGCCCTCAGTTCTACCAGTAGAGGAGATGGTGATAAATAAGGAAGTGGGAGAAAAAAGGGGGCGGAGAGCCACTCGGGACAGCACCATTATTCCAAGAGGCTATGTTCCAAGCCTCTCTCTGTAAATACTGAATAAAAAGCAGATGATAAGGACTTTTCCTTGACTTATGAGTAGAATGCTGCCCTAAGTCTGGATCCAGCCCTGTGTGTTCCCACATAATTGCAATGCACACACCTCAACAATCCAATCTACGTTACATGTGTAGAACTAGATTTTGGGTAATATCCAAAATCTATTGATTTAAATGGGTCTGCTTTCAGTATGACAAACTTTGAAGATCACCTTTTATAGACAGGCCAACGCAATTGCACAACCACTTCTATGCATAGTAACCAAGTACTGATAAATACATCCTCAAATGGCTATCGGTTTGCACCTTTAGGCACCCCCATGTTGGCTTTTCCTGGGGGCTACTGTCATGATATGTGAAAGTATCCTTAAAATATTTCTACATGGCAATCAGTGTCAGTTCAGCTTATCAAATTCACAAAGTGGCTTATATTGAGACAGACAGTAATTCCCCCAACTGAGCCTTCATCGTGCATGTAGAAAAGAAGATAAATAGCTTCTCATTAACCTAAACCGATCTGCTTTTGTCATTCCACTTCTCCCATCAGGGAGTGCCTATCATCTGCCATATTTGCATGCTCACCTTGGGATTGCTCTGCGTACTTCTGTACCAAGCTAAATTCCAAAAGACATTTCCAAAAGGAGCACTGCACAGCAGAACCAATATAATAAATGGGATTACATGGAACTGACGCAGAGTAAAGTGAAAAGGCAAAGTTGAGGTAGAACATGTGCCCACCATGTGCCAGTTTTAGAAGGAGAAGTAGCCAGCCATATTTATGTAATGATTGTTATTCAACTTGATGCAGGGCAGGCCAGGAATCTAAAGAGAGCTATGCATTATTTTTCTTTTCTTTTTCAGTATTTTCAAAATTAATTGACAACGTGCTTTTCTATCTTGAAATTTAATAGTACAGAAACAAAAACCAATAGTTAGTTTGCCTCCCTACTTTGATGCCAGTCTATTGTCAGAGCCCTAGAATGCACCCTTACACCACGGTCTATCGAGTGCTTCCTCAATCCCAAGGATGCAGGTGGCGCTGTGGTCTAAACCACTGAGCCTCTTGGGCTTGCTGATCAGAAGGTTGGCGGTTTGAATCCCCATGACAGGGTGAGCTCCCGTTGCTCTGTCCCAGTTCCTGCCAACCTAGCAGTTCAAAAGCACACCAGCGCAAGTAGATAAATAGGTACCATTGTGGCGGGAAGGTAAAGAGCATTTCCATGCGCTCTGATTTCCGTCACAGTGTTCCGTTGCACCAGAAGTGGTTTAGTCATGCAGGCCACATGACCTGGAAAGCTGTCTGTGGACAAACGCCGGCTCCCTTGGCCTGAAAACGAGATGAGCGCTGCAACCCCATAGTCACCTTTGACTGGACTTAACCGTTCAGGGGTCCTTTACCTTTTACCTTTACCTTCCTCAATTCCATACTGACCCAGATGGACCAATGGTTTCATGCACTATAAAAAGCAGCCATCCCCATGGGAGGGTGTTCTACATTGTTGACTCAACATTAATGGATAGTTCAATCAGAAGAGCATGTGACTCTTAATCTCAGGGTTGTGGGTTCAAGCCCACGTTGGGCAAAATATTCCTGCATCACAGACACTTGGACTAGATGATCCTCATGGTCTCTTCCAGAGGTGCCATCTTCTTATGAGGATTGAGGGAGCCTGTGCATTATGACGTATGACATTATGATGTCATGTGTGTGTCGCTGCACTACATCATGACATCATGTCATGTTGCACTATGCCCAGACATCACACGTGTGATGCTGCACAATGCCCTGATGTTGCAATGCCGTGAAGAGCCAATTGGCAGAGCTGAATGCCTTCTGAATATTGAGGGGGCTTGGCCCCCTCAAAAATTACTTTGGGAGGGCTGAAACTACCTCAGCCCCTAGGAATTGGCACGCCTGGTCCCTTTCAATTCTTTGATTCTATGATCAAGGCAAAGGACAAGATTTGGATTAGCAGATGAATCTTCAAAACTGGTGCTGTTATCTTTCACAACACCTGAGAATTGCAGACCAGCATTTGGAGTGCAGAGCAGGGGCCACGTGGCACACATAGCTCTGTTTTGGAACAGGCAATGGTTGGGAAAGGGGCTCAGGAGGTAGTGCCAAGGGGGTTGCCTCCACAAACCCCAGCATCTGCCCACTGAGTCAGCTGGCCTAACAGTAGGGCTGGCTTAGTAAGATAGGACTCAGCACTGCCTTCTAGCAAATCTCAGAGCATGGAGGTGCTCATATGAGACAAGGTTTCCTGGAATTATAGTTTGTGTGTGAGAGTGAGTGAGAGACCATTCCAAATACATATAGGTTATAGTCCAGCGGTTTAGGAAAGTCACATATAACTTTATGCCTTAAAAACAACACCCTCTCTTTTAAGAAATGCTGTAATGTGTACTGAAATCAATGACAGCTTTTGGATAAGGTGTTGTACCATTTTCCAGCATAGGATCAAATTCCCAGGAACCGAGGTCCCTCTGCCCCCATGAAATATTTAAGGCGCCGGGGGGCCCCCAAAGTTGATGGGCATTGTCATTCAAGTGGTGTGTATGCACACTGTCTTGTGATCAATTATGCGGGGCAATTTTTATCTGCCACACAACTTTTTATTCAAGCTGGCACCCCTGTTTGCCAGGTTTGTAAGGTGGAAATATGAACGAGGTATTAAATCAAAACTCCAAAAATATAGCTTTGCAGAATGTAGTGTCAGTTTAATGAAAGGCATTGAAGAAACTTGAAAGAAAGAACGAAACATGTACAGTGGTGCCTCGCAAGACGAAATTAATCCATTCCGCGAGAGTCTTCGTCTAGCGGTTTTTTCGTCTTGCGAAGCAACCCTATTAGCGGCTTAACGGATTAGCGCTATTAGCGGTTTAGCGGCTATTAAAGGCTTAAAGGCTTAGCGGATTAGCTGCTAAAAGGCTATTAAAGGCTATTAAAGGCTTAGCAGATTAGATAAAGGGGGGGGGGAGCGAAAAAAAAAACTCAAGAAGTGCAAGACATTTTAGTCATTCGAAGCAAGCCCATAGGGAAATTAGTCCTGCGAAGCAACTCAAAAACGGAAAACCCTTTCGTCTTGCGGGTTTTCCGTCTTGCGAGGCATTCGTCTTGCGGGGCACCACTGTATAAGATAAAATAGGGTGCACTGTTTGCAACCTTCCTAGCTATTGATGGGGAACCTGTGGCCTCTAGGTGTTTGTTGGGCTCAAACTATTAATCCTAGCTGGCATGAGCAATGATCAGGGTTGATGATGGGTGTTGGAGCCCAGCAACATATAGTATGGAGGACCACAGGTTCCCCGCTTTTTTATTTCCAAAAATGAGGGGCTCGGTTTCCAGGGATTGGCTGAGCTGCTCTGACATAATGGAATTCTTATAAAGCCATTTCCGAATTCCTGAGGAGAGGGGGTTGCGGGCAGCCACCCTCCCACACACGCGGGGGCGGGCCTTGCCCCCGCGAGACTCAGGGAATCCCCGGGCGTGCCTGCGACCCGACCCGCCAATCGGCGGGCTGGGGAGGCGTGGCCTAACCTACTTAAGGCCAGGTACGCCCGTAGCAATCGTCACAACTTTTGGTATATGGCGGTTAGGCATTGGCAGGGGATTATTGTTATGCAAATGAACAGGGGGGAAGGAAGCGCCATCACCTTCCCCCAGAAGAAGGGTAGTCCGGTAGAGGACTCCGGGGGGCGTGGCCTTGTCCGAAACCTAGGGAGGTAAGGGCCTCCGGCACACCCCCGAGCGGTGACACCCATGGGATCCTAGTTGGCGTACTTCAACAGGACTCCTGCGGTTTGTGGTTAACCCTTCCCGGCCAGCATGCCGGGTAGTCGTTAGGTGCCAATGCCTAAGGCCAATACCTTCATTTCTGTAATCAATAAAGTTGTGGCCTTTTTATGCCCATTAACCTTACATTATGTGTCCAGTGTCTTTATTTCTCTTGGGGGAGGGGTCTTGCCACGCAAACATTCTAGGGTATAAACATGGGTAGGCAAACTAAGGCCTGGGGGCCTGATCTGGCCCAATCTCCTTCTAAATCTGACCCACAGACAATCTGGGAATCAGCGTATTTTTACATGAGTAGAATGTGTCCTTTTATTTAAAATGCATCTCTGGGTTATTTGTGGGGCATAGGAATTCTTTCATTCCCCCGCCCCCTTCAAAATATAGTCTGGCCCCCCACAAGGTCTGAGGGACAGTGGACCGGCCTCCTGCTGAAAAAGTTTGCTGACCCCTGGAATAAAACTTCTGACATGAAGGCCCAGAGAGGTGGAAGGAGTATGGAGCAGCCAGAGCAAAGCACTATTTCCAGAACAATGTAACATTAAGCATGTGTGGTGTGAGCCTTGAGCACATAAAAGTCACTGCACACAAACAAAAACCTATGGAGGGCTATGCATATTCACTTATTTTATATAATTAAGTTCAAAACCACAGCTTTGGTGAAAGAAGAGAGCAAGCAAGCGAGAAAACAAAAGAAAGGAAGACAAAATCCATGACCAACAATGAAAACGGATGATGCCTCTTTTATCCAATTCTCTTTTATTTATTTAAGTAGAGAAAAATGTGAAGAGACATTCAGATACATTAGGGTATTATGATAATTCTGGTGCATTAATAATGCAAATGGTATATGAAGGTTAATTACTTCTAAAATGAGCAGCTATTGTTCAGAGCACCCCCCCGCCCTCTTCTCCTTAGAAAACCTTCCAACCCTTTTGGAGACAAAGCAGTTCCCTCTTTTGTAACCACAGCTCTCCCATCAAAATGCCCCTGTGTATTTTTGATCTGCTGGATGTCAGAAAATTATTAGAACACTGTCATGTGCTCGGGCTTTGCACTCAAGGCTCTGGAACAAACTGTCAATGAAATGCTCTGACCTTTTCCAGAAACCAAAGTCTGGCAGAATTCTCTTTGTGAGAAAGGGCCATGTGACTGATAACAGGCCCCAAGGATTTACGCAACCAAGGTCTCGTTCCTTTAGCTAATTGGACTCCTTGTCTGTTCAAGTCAACAAGACTTCCTTTAAAAAAAAAAAAAAAAAAATTATTACTTTTAAAAATTACAGAAATGGAAAAGAAAAGAAACAAAAGAGAAAGAACAAAGAAAGGAAAAAAAAGAACAATACAATACAATATATAACAATACAAAACACAACCTAATCACATTGAACTAAACTAAACAGAACCCTAACCCTAAACAAAACAAAACAATAACCATTTAAAAACATAAATCACACCCTTTCCATACTCTATTTTTCATTCCCTTGTTTCCTCTACTTCCTCTCACCTCCCTTTTTGTATTCCACTTCTATTAATTGTTTCAGCAAACCCTTTCCATCTTTCTCTATTTTCTGTCTTATTATAAATATCTTAACATATTTTTATCATTAAATACTAAATACTCATATATCCTTAACTCCTTATAACATTTCTACTAAAGCCATAAAATTTCTTTCCACCATTTTTCTATCATTCATTAATTTTGCAATATTTCTATATATAAACTTTAAAATCTCTAATCTTCATCCACCATCTCCTCTCCCTGGTTTCGGATTCTGCCAGTCCTTTCCGTCAAATCCATATAGTCCATCAACCTGGAGATCTTATGTCCGAGGCTCTTAAGTCTTTTCCAGGTCCCTTCTGCAGGTCTTCTTCATATTCTTTAGTGCCAAAAGCAAATCTCGAGAAAACTCCAACCTAGCAATACTTTTATTCCTTCCGGACAAGTCAGCCAAATTTCCATAGTTAAAGCTGAGGTCTATAAGATGTTTCATGACATGTTTCAATATTCCTCCAAGTCCCAAGGCCCCCAAAACTCCAGTCTCCTCCAAACCCAAGTCCATGTCCCAAAAGTCAGTTAATCCCTGGATAGAAGGATCTTTCCAACTTTCCTTCTTCCGTCCAAGCTGGGATCCAATCTTCAAAATCTGGCTTTTTCTAGATTCAATCGTAGAAGGCCTCAATTTGTAGTCCTCAATTTGCTTCTGTGTGGCTGAAAATCCCACTTGTATTACTTTAGGCTCAGCCACCACAGCTTTCTCTTTCTCCTCCGCAATCTGTCCAACCAAAGTAGTTTCTTGTGCCAAGTCCTGAATTGTTCCTGTATTGATGCTCACTTTTTGACTCCAATTAGTTACTTTTTGGTCCAAATTGTCAATTTTAAAAGAAGTGTCATCTGTCTTCTTATGGAGCTGTTCCAACAAATAGCTTATCTTACATAATACCGTCACAATGGTTTCTCCTATCAACATTTTGAGTGGTCCAAGGTCAAACTCTAGTTCTCACACTTACTTATCATACAGCTGGTGCAGTCCTGTGACAGCTTCAAAAACTCCCTCTAGAGGGAAACAGTCTCCACTTGTATCAATCCTTTCAAGCACAATTCAGACCATAAAAATAGTTTCACTTTCCAGTTACTTTTCCTCTTTTTTAAACGCAGAAGAGGACAATGGAAACAGTATCTTTCTCTTATATAACTAGTTGTCAAAAATGTTCTGTTCACAGTCAATGAACTCTCCCAAAATTTCCCTTTTTCTGGCAGCCCTTTTCCAGGTTTGGAGCAGTGATAATT